ACGAAATTTTCGATCAACAAAATAATCGTGCAGTTTCTCGGAACAATAATCCACCGGCACATGTACATCCCTCTTTTCATCGGCATTCCAAAACGCTCTGTAAAATATCGCAGTACATTGGAGGACGGGATGGTTGGTATAGCTCCCCTACTATAAAAGGTTCCGACGTCACCAAGAGGTCCTGACCCTTCGGGGGGTACGAATGCTATCGGGGTCCCGACCCTTCCGAGGGTGCCGACCCTCAGTGTATAGCGATCCTAATAGTTGTTTTATTGGACTAGTGTGTGTCCCGTTTGTATGGTGTGTGTGTGTGTGTGTGTGTGTGTGCATGTGTGTGTGCATGTGTGTGTGTAATACGTCTCGCCCTATATACGTGTTTATTATACATAATAAAGTAAAAGATATAAAAAGTAGGTGAGGTTCTGGGGAGCCGAAGCTCCCCAGAATAGGAGTAGTAGCATATAGAATAAGTAGGTTAGAATAAATAGGTCGAAAGTGGCGATCCCGGCGATGGGGAGGCGTGCTTTTTTATCTCAAGAGACAAAGACCGGAAGTTCAGTGAGGGTAGGGGGTTAAAGTTTGAACCAGGGACAGGGGTACCGCGTCACAGTAACGCAGTTGGTCTTTAATCTATTTTTAACAAAAACCATTAATCACTATTTGATATATTACGCGATAATTGGAAAGTGCTACATCTGTTTACCGAAGTTGAGAGTTCAACTCCGCTACCAGGACAACTAAACCCCTCAACGATTCTGTTCATTTTTCTCGATGATAAATTGCTACTGGCATATGCCAAGGGGACAAATCAACTATCAAATTACTACTCCAAGCAATCTTCGAAAGAGGGAGCCATCGACAGCTTTGTCATGTAGCGGCTACTACTGGCATTTTGCTGCCACTCGGTCCCATATTCTCCGAATGTATTTAAACGAAAACGGAGTGAAATTTGTGGATTTTGGCTGTTCCGTATTTTCCACGGCTCGGACTGGCCTTTGCTCCAGAACGTTTGGTTCGGCTAAAAAATTTTTTACCAATTTAACCCAGTTTTGCCGCCTCACTTCGATCGTCCATTTTCCATTCGGCCTTCTAACAGCCTTTACTTTTAAATAGTGATTAAAGTGGATAAAACTGATCAGGGTATGGGATTTCTAACTTTCCGAATTGGCGCCCATTTTGCCTTTCATTTGTGAGAACAAAGCAGTGGTTTTCGTGAAAACGCAACTATATCTAAACTAAATTTGCCCAACATAAAATCAGGGCACCCTTATCCTAGCCAATTTGGGCAAAATTATCATCGGGCGACGGGCAGTCTCTTTTGAATCTCACCCACCAGCAACTGAATTTCACGTACAATATCATACTGCCCCACAACTTCGGGTACAATTACCCGAGGGGGAAGACAAAACCAACAGAACAAATAGGCCGAGAACATTGAAAACTTACATTTGCCTCATTTTAATCAACGAAAATGCCCGTTGTGCACTATCGTTGTTGACGAACAGCAGAAGCGCTTCCCGATAACGTGGATCATAGATCACTTCACTGAATGTATCCGTGAAAGATACACGCATTTTTTCACGTAGATAATCAGCCGAGCAACTTGGTGGTACCTCACTAATCCAGATCTTATTGCTTACAATTGTACGTCCCCAGTTTGCCTGAAAATTTCATGGTTATTTCATGGTTTTACCGCAAAATACCAGAAATTCGATTTTACTGGGCAAAAAAACCTGTTCAATTTTGCACATCTTTTAGCTCAACTGCAACATTCTATAACAGATTTAGCCTAATTTTACGAGTCTTAGCTAAATTTCATGCCAAAATTTCATTCAAATTTTACACTTCTGATTGAATTCAGATACTAAATGCTACAATTTTCCGTTTGCATCTCTTTACCTTTATTACAAGTGACCAAATCTAGCTCAATTTTACAAATCCTAGCTAAATTTCATGCCAAAATTTCACTCAAATTTTATAGTCTTCGATTGAAATCAGATGCTAAATGTTACTATTTTCGGCTCGCATCTCTTTAATTCGACTACAAGATTCCTTAACCAGATTTAGCCTAATTTTACAAATCCTAGCAAAATTCCGTGCCAAAATTTCATCCAAATTTTACAGCCTTCGGTTGAATTCCGCATTTTTATTAAAAAATTCCAGCTCTCCAAAAAACTGCTACACTTTATGGCCAAATTTCTTGTACAATCCAGAAACCAAAAATAACTGGAAACTCGACAAAACACCGGATATCATCAAAAAACAAAACTCAAACTGGTAAAATCGAAATTAAACAAGGGAAGGAACCTATATAAAGTCTATTACTTAATGCGAATGTACCTCAAAAGGGTGCAAATTACAAAATTTTAGCATTTGAAAATCCTTCCCAAACCCCTCCATGTACGAGTAACTACGAAATGTCTTTTCCAGCACTAATCAGACATCACCCCTTCTTGATCTCATAGCGTTACCAGTTCTGTTTTTGTGGAAGTGAAACATGGAATACCACGCTTGCCGGGGAGGAAAATTTGACAATGACTTGTACGGGGCTGATAAAGCCTTTTGCCAAGAATCACAGCAATAAAATAATTTTTAAAAAAACAAAAAAAACTTGCCTTTAACTTTCCTTTTGTTCCAGACATATGTGTCATCGAATGTGCACAGGAATTGATTGCACGTACCACTGATTGTATGTCGGCGAACTGAATAAATGCGAATGGCGACTGACTTTCCCAGTTCTTAACATCTGAAACCAAGAAAAAAAGCAATTACCC